AATCATCAGTTTTCTAGTTATAGGTGAGAAATTGCCAAAAAACCCCAAAAACCGTTGAAAATGTCTAGAATGACCCCTCAAAAGTGGGTTTAGACAATTTTCGCCTGTTTCATTGAAAAGTACGCAAAAAATTACGAATATGAACCTCCCGTACTCATGAAACAAAGCTTTTTGGGGCTCGTCATAAAATTAAAACCATTTTTCAGCTGAAAAATTGAGTCGGCTGTTTTGGCAGGAAAACGATGCACAATCGCAAAAATATTTTGCGCCAGAATGCACCTACCCTAGGGTCCTTAAAATATGGATTCAGATGATTTTTTGAAGTGGGGCCAAAATCGGCCCTTATCGATACCCCGCCTTTTAGGAAAGTTTCGAGACAAATTTGAATTATTTGAAAGAAAAGAAAAAGTTTTACAAACTTTACTACAATTTTTATTCTACTTACTGTATGATTTTTTCGGATTGATTTCCTCAATTTTCATTCCCAAATTTTTCATTCCTTTCCACTGTTGCCAAATTTGAGCAAGAAGCTAATTTTGATACCGAGATTGATTTACCTTGTGAAATCCTTTTCTTTTCCTTAACATTTCCGTTTTCCTTAATGCACTATGGATACCGAACGTACACGAGTAAACGGGCTGAGAAGAAATGCGTTGATCAAAGAAATGCAGGGTTACGACCTGGATACCACGGGCAAGCAACGTGAGCGTTCTAAAGCATCGGTTGCTAGAACATTTAGCGGAACTTCAGGAGAACTATGTTCATGAAATAAGGCAAGACGCTCCGGGCTTAAAGGATGTTCTTGATGCTATTGGATCACTTTCGGCGAACATTGACCAGCGTTTCCAACAACGTGATGAGGAGTTTGAAGCCCGCATGAAAAGGATTGAAGATGCGATCAATGTAGGTACTTGAAGCTCACAATACCTCTGATGAAAATACTCCCGTTCTCTCACCTTCGGATCCTCATCAGTCAATCTCAGGGGAGAAAAGCAAGTTGAACCAAGGTAAACTGTGCGACATGGCCAGGAAATGGAACCTAAAATTTGACGGCAAACAAGGGGCTGTATCTTTTCTTGAACGACTGAAGGAGTTACAACGCGCTTATGGTATTGAGGACCAGGAGATGCTTAACCTGCTGCCAGAGCTCTTTTCCGGAACGCCAGCGCTGTGGTACCGTAACGATTTCATACAGTGGTCTACTTGGAAGGAATTTTTGGACCATTTCGTCGAGAACTTCTTCCCAGGGAACTTTCATCGTCATTTGATGACAGAAATCCAGAATCGCTCCCAAGGACCTAATGAGAAGGTGCGCGAATATTTTGAAGCCCTAGGAACTTTGATGCGTCGACACGGCAAATTGACGGAAGATGAGCGAAATTAGTGGTTCTTCCACAATCTGCAGCCGGAGTACAAGCTATATGTACGACACCAGAATATTACGGACAAGAACTCCTTGCTTAAACTAGCCGTTGAATTCGAGGAGACTCGGGAAGAAAATGTGACCTCCTCCGGAAGCCTACAATTTTTATATGTCGGAAACCGCGTTTGGTGCAACCACGGGAAAACCTGCAAGCAAGGGAAAAGTAATGGCTGTATCTGGTAACACCGCGGAGCAAGACAAGAAACCCCGGCACTGTAAAAATTGCAAGACTGAAGGCCACGATTGGAGACAATGCAAGGAACCGAGGAGACTCTACTGTTATGGCTGCGGTAAAAATGGCGTAACTATGCGAGTCTGCGGATGCCGCGAAGCCAAAGGGAAAACTGAAAATGATTCGGGAAACGGAAATCAGGTTCAAATTTCGCGGGGAATAAACCAAGCTGCCAACCCCCGCAGATTGAAAATCACCGGGAGAATGATGAGCATCAATATTTTTTTGACGCTGAAGACAGCAAACCTGCCCATGAGGAGGCCAATTTTTGTATTCCTGCACCCAAAATAATTGAATTGGAAAATTGCAAATCTAATCTGGGACCTAACCGTCTTGGAGGTGGCTCGAAGTCTGAATTGGATCGACCTAGGGGAATTAGCACCCTATTTAATCGGGATGGCCCAGTTTTTGGAAAGATTCGCGATTGGACAGATTTTGGTCGCGGAGTTTTATGGTGCTTACCTAATCATGATTGCAGCGTGTTGTTGGTATACACGGGGTATTCATTCCAGTCAAATCAGTTTAACTAACCGAAATCAACAACAAGATGACTGTTTTGCGTGTTGGGTAAAACCTGAATATCCTCGATGTTTGGATTGCCTTGATGAGTGTGAATGGCAAGATTTTGGAGATTGTGACGATTTTGAGGATGATCAGAATTTTTTTGACGCGGAAACCTGGCAAGAAGAAGTAGAGGATTTTCAAACTGACGATGGGGCCAACCTAGAAATTCACAACGAAAATATGGACAAAATTAGAGTAGCAGTAAACATCGATGGAGAATCTTTCCCTGGATTGATTGACACTGGCTCGACTCATACGTTTCTGAACCTTGAAATGGCACAAATTCTACGGAAAAGAGGCCGTCTTGCGAGTTTTGGGCCGCAATTAAAGTTTTTCGTAGCAGATGGGAGTCGCCACTCCACGTCAGAAACTTATGAGGTAGAATGTCGAGTCCACAGTCGCAAAAGATTTTTAAAGATGTACGTAATTAATAATCTAAATGTAATGATTCTCATCGGTATGGATTCCCTGAAAAATTGGGACATACTGATTGACCTTGCAACGCAATCTCTGATATTTAAGGTGATTCGATGGACGCCGTGTTTTGTGTCAGAACGGCATGCGATATATCGCGTCAATTGGTTCCATTTTTTCAGCTACTCGTCATTTTTCTCCAATTTTGAGATCGCAATTCTGTTGTCAGGAGACTAAAGCACTCACTTACCAATTTTAACAAAGAAATTCAACGTAATAAAGGCGTGGTTTTCTTAGAGAGAAAATATCGCATTCGAGTGCAGTTTCGATATCAGTATAGAATGCGATGTTTTCTCTCTAAGAAAACCACGCCTTTATTACGTTGAATTTCTTTGTTAAAATTGGTAAGTGAGTGCTTTAGTCTCCTGACAACAGAATTGCGATCTCAAAATTGGAGAAAAATGACGAGTAGCTGAAAAAATGGAACCAATTGGTGCGATATATCGCATGCCGCTCTGACACAAAATATGGCGTCCATCGAATCACCTTAAAGACAAACCATGGGATCCTGGTGGGATTTGCGCCTCGATGGATATGCAACCCAGAACCTCACCACTTCGACTGCTAGAGCTACCGGGCCTTACTTCCGTGGGGTGATGACACTTCGCGTCGGAGCGCGCAGGCGCAGAGTAAGGGAGGCCTGAGATAGAGAGAGATGAGAGGGGAGGGGAGAAAGAAAAGGACAGAAACCGGAGAGAATTGCCAGGCATGAGGATTTGGACCCTCACTCCTTTCGAAAACCGGCCGAGATTGTGAAGGTTTGCGCGGGCATTTTGAAATGCGCAGAAATCGGAACTTTTATCGCGGCGAGCATAGTTTCTCCGCAGATAATGATCGCAGAAAGAAACTGATTGTACATAACTACTCAGCATACTATAATCTTTTTAGTAACTTTAAGGTGATTCGTCAAGCTCAAGTGGCGTGGTCGAACTGGCATGCGATACATCGCATCTTTTAGATAAAAAATCTCGGCAGATTTTGAATTTTCAGCAAAAAAAGGACGATAACCCCTGCGCATGAGCCTAAACAACCATTCTAAACCCAAAAATCGGCAAAATTCAGAGAAATGAAAGCAGGAGAGGGTTTGGAAAAATACCTCGCATTCGATACAAAAATCGATAGCTGAATCGAATGCGAGGTTTTTTCCAAACCCTGTCCTGCTTTCATTTCTCTGAATTTTGCCGGTTTTTGGGTTTAGAATGATTCTTTAGGCTCATGCGCAGGGGCTATCGTCCTTTTTTTTGCTGAAAATTCAAAATCCGCCGAGATTTTTGACCTAAAGGAGGCGATATATCGCATGCCAGTTCGACCACGTCACTTGAGCTTGACGAATCACCTTAAGGACATTTCGCAAGTCAGGCTTATGTCTGAACAAATCACTCAGATGCATCGAAAAACATGGAAAAACGACAGTTTCGGCGAAGCGCCACGTGGTGGCGGGTTTCTCAACTACAGTAGTAGGGTTCCACCTTAATCGCCACATATCGCAATGGAGGCACTGGATGCGAAAAGGGCACTTCTCGATTGCAGTGTTTCAGAATCTCTGTTGCGAATTAATCTCTAAGTGAAGAATTTAATGGGTGATTTTTCCAAAATCCTTTCCATAAAAAATTGTAGAATCATAAGGAATATTCAGTAAAATTCCTGGTGAAGTGGATGCATTCTTTTCCCTCACAATTAATGAAATATTAGATGAGACTATGAAACACTCCAACAGAGAAGTGCCCTTTTCGCATCTAGTGCCTCAATTTTCAATGCAATAATATCTAGATACATTTTCATCACCAATATAGTCGCGATAACCATCCGATAAAATCGCTATTTATCGCGATTACTGCTACTTTGGTTTAGGTTCCCGAAAATTGTGGGAAACTGTTGAATTTAAAACTGGATGAAATTTGACGTATTTTAACTGAAAGTGAGACATATAACATCGAAGATATCAGGATGATACATGTTGGAATTTGTGTTTTTTACCAATAAAGAGGGTCACGTAACGCTGGCACCGACCCCCCCCCCCCCCCCCCCCCCNGCTCCCCTTGTCTCGCAGGCTCATACTCCCTCTTTCTCTAGAGCATTATGTAATTTATGAACGCTTCCTTGACAGCCTCATATATGACATGTTTTAAAGACAAAGGCTGTGGAAAACATACATATGACTCTTCGGTGTCGAAGCTCCTTAACCATAAACACTTGAAGTGTCATAGTTAACAAAAAAAAATGAAAGAGTCTTTCAGCTTAAGCCTGGTTCATTTTCCTCTTTCCTAAGACTTTAAAGAGTCTAATGAAGATGTCTTTCTGCATCAGGTGTGGAGTTATTAGTGCAGAAGCAGCAAACCTAGTCACCCCATTGGTCACATACGGCCAAACCACAGCTCGAGGTCAATGGCCTTGGCATGTAGCCTTGTATAAAACGGATGGAATAAATTTGACGTATATCTGTGGAGGCTCCCTAATTGCCAAAAATATTGTCGTAACAGGTAAGGCTCATCTAAGTGACCCTATTGGTTTTATTTAAACGATTGTTATAGGTACCAAATCCCTTTATTATCCGACGCGGATAGTTCCGTCGCGCAGGTTTATGTGATTCCTCGACGATCCCTCGCTTCTCTGCCAACATGATTGATACTTCCATACCGTCTCTAGATTCGCTTCTGGTGCACCATAGGACGTGCCGATGCTTCTTCTACTGTAGTGAGACAATTTTGAGTTCTCTGAAGTTGATGGAAAAGCCTCAAGCAGCGTCAATCTTATTTTATGATTTTCCTCCACTTGACGTCCTACCATTGTTCGCCCTCCGCATCATCGTCGCTCATAGGATCTTGTAGTCAGCGGATCCGCCTACCTATTCGATACTAGGTGGTTTCCGTCTAAATATAAGAGAAACCCGTCGCCTCCAGGTCGGGGCTTCGAGTTGCTGACGCACTCGGCTTTTGATCTACCGAACCCGCCGATCCGATCGTGTTGGAAACGTAACCATCCCCGTCATCGAAGCCCCTCCCCGTTGATGAGGATTTCACGTTTGGTGTCGTCGGACAGTATCATCACCGAAGATCTTACGATTTTAGGTAGACTTTCGGCAACGTCATTCTCCACCTTTTTAGCTAAATCAACGGACGCAATGGGCCTGCGCTGCGCGCGTTTGTTTTACAATCGCAGGTGCAGCGCGGCGCATTGGACATCAGGTGAGGAAGTTAGTGTAGTGTGGACTGGAATACCAATGCAGGAGTGACCTGTGGCGTCCAGCCTGCGACTATAATGACTATGACTTCGTCCCTCTCTATCAAGGATAAAATCAGCATTTGGGCAGAAAATAGCCGATCTAGCGCTGAAGTAGTCTTAACGCTCTCCGACTTTAGTGAGAATTCAAGAGTAATTGATCCGAATTTAGTCAAAAAATCGGTTATAATTTACTCTCTTTGAGACAAGTTGTGTTTCGGTTTAAGATCTCTGATTAGTCAAAGAAATCAAAACATATTGTGTCATTTTGCATATAGATTACTCTCGACTCATCATACAGCTGTATGTGTACACTAGAGCACTTATCTGAAGTAAATGAAAAATAGAGCTCAAGGAATAGAGACAGCTAGTATAATCCAGATTTGGACAACTGAAGAATATAAGTGAAGACATGCTCAGGGCAACTGAGATGGACTTTTGGCGGAGGTTTACCGGAATATCGAGAAGAGAGCGTATCCACGATGAAAAGGTGTGCGAGATAATGGGTGTGGAGAATGACATCGTGAACGATATCAAGTCCAGGCAATTGGTCTGGTACGGACGTGTGCGAAGGATGGCAGACGATCCGTTGCCCAAACAGGTTTTCAATTGGGTTCCCTCTGGAAGGCGACGGCGTGGACGTCCTTTGAAAGGTTGGTGGCAAGGAGTGGAGGAGGAGATCAGAAAGTGCTAGTTGCCTGATGATCTCTGAGAGGTTAGGGGGCAATGGCGATTGGGCGTCGCAGAGCGCGAGGCTGCGCTGTGAAAGCGGCTTTATGTATGTGTAATCCAGATTGGACCCCTATCAGAAACTGGAAGAGAGGGTACGAAATTCTAATATGGAATGCTGTGTTGTCGCGGGATGAACTATAGTAAATGTGTTGTTTAGTAACTTGATAGATCATCCCATTCACTCAGTCCTCCAAAGGATGATGCAGTTCACCTGGATATTTAGCCCTTAATTTTGGTAATTTTTTGTTAATCTTTACAACTTTAGGTACTATTGAAACATGTCTCTGTAATGTATACAATGGACTCATTTTGATGTGTGATTTTGATTTTTAATTTCCCATCTTTAATTCAATTCTGGTCTTTCCAGCTGCACATTGTGTCACTAAGAAACCTCTTGACAGACCAGTTGATGCGAATACTATTGTTATTTATCTGGGAAAGTATCATTTGCAACAGTACAGTGATGATGGTGGAATTCAAATCAAACAGGTGAGTGTTGAACAGATGTCAGAGGTACCAAACATTGTTTTTCATGGCTCAGTTAGCGATAAGTCAATCCTCCCTTAAGTTTAATCTTGAGATGAATGAAATGCTGATGGTTCAGTCAAATGCTCTCTCTGACATATGTTTAAGTGTTGAGAAAATAATCGGTTTCAAGAATGGGATTGTTGCATGATTTTTTTTAATTCAGTTTCTACAAGTTGGAGGTGTACTGATTGTTAAGGTATTTTTTTAAAAAATTTCTGATGATCGGAACATGGAGAAAAAGCCCCGAAAAGTCAAGAACGATTTGAAACGGGGTTCCTTCCCGGGTCAGTCCATTTAAGATTTCATTTTCAGAATCAGACTTTCACAGCAGTTGGAAGTCAGTAAGTGACTTGTATATGATATTTTTTGGGACCTTTGAACCCCTCAGAATAATTATTGGACAGTGGCATAGCTCTTTTCGGCACCATTTTTTTTTATTTCTTGTGATTTTTAAGAGTTTTTGAAAAAACTCATCATTACCGTAACCTATTTATTTTGTTAGTCCAGCACACGCAAAAGAAGTGGAAACTGATCTTTTTTATTTTTTTTTGTTTAGTTTAAAGTCTGATAGTTCGAAATAAATACAAATATTTGGATAAGTTATGATTAAAACTTTTATTTCAACACATTTCAATGTCAAATTCGGAATTTTTTGTTTTTTTTGAGTTCTAAATTGCCCTACATTTGAGAGAAAAGGATGAGGTTGCATGTAAAGATTTTTCTATAAAGAGCTGAACTTATATTTTGTAATTTCCCCCTAAATTGTAAATTTACAGCTTTTTTCCAATTTTTTTTCAAGAAAAATAAGCCGGTTACGGTAATGATAAATAGTAGCGGTAATGACTGTAAGTATACGGTAATGATTTATTGTTATGCATGACGGCCTTATGGGGTAGGATCTCAAGGCTGAAGGAAAAAAGCACTGATTTCTAAAGAAACATTGTATTAAAGCAGTACAAAAATTCGAAAAAATGACCAAACCACAT